TACTAGTAGTAACAATGTTTGCTATTAGGAACAAGTGCATCGCTACTCGTAACAAGTGCCTTACTAGTAGTAACAATGTTTGCTATTAGAAACAATCTTTTCATGTTTGAAAGTCGATCCCATGCTGAGGTCCGTGCAGTTCGGCTGCATATCGGGCACAATTGATTCCATATCTTGCGAATTGCACCTGTGTGACGCCGAGGGGTCCCAATAGCACTTGTTACTAGTAGCTTCCTACCCCCCCCCCCGCGCGCGCGCGCGCACTTGTTACTAGTAGCTTCTTGTTTCTACTTGCTTCTTGTTACTACTAGTAAGGCACTTGTTACTAGTAGTGAGGCACCTGTTACTAGTAGCGATGCACCTGTTACTAGTAGCTTCCTACCCCCCTGTGTGACGCCGAAAAGGTCCTAGTAGATTCCTTTGCTAGTAATTACAAGTCTAATTAAATTCTTATTGTTACTAGTAGCAAGGCACTTGTTCCTAGTAGCTTCTTGTTACTACTAGCGTGGCACTTGTTACTAGTAGCGATGCACTTGTTACTAGTAGCTTCCTCCCCCCCCCCAGGGGTGATGCCGAGGGGCATCCCTAGCCATGCTGCCGACTCCATCAGCCACACCAAGCGCATGGGCATCCATAAAGCATGCGTCTTCACCTGCAGCATTCTGCGAGGCGCCAGGAGCAACTGTGCCAAAGAAAGCTTCAGCAAATCTGAATCCACCCCAAGTCAAGCTGCTGAGGAAGGCACACTCACCCTGTGCCTTCTTCAGCTTGCTTGCACCGGCCTTAGCAGGCACTTCGAATTACAGTAACCCAATAAAATGTCAGTGCAAACATCTGCTCGAGTAAAGCTGACGTCTCGTTTGACACTTTCGAAGCCATCGATCACTTGAAGCTTCTCAATTTCCGGTGTTTAACCACAGACCTTCACCGTCACCCAATCCTCGAACAATAACCTTAAAGCTTGGAACCTGCCATGCAATCCTGACATCTGGTGAAAACTGAACATAGAACACTCAGTTGTAGCCCATGGTTGTCTGTTGCTTGCTGCTGGAATCAGCCTTCACTGCCATGCCCAAAAACATGTCCAGAATCGTTTTAGACATTTAGTGAAATTTCACGCACAAGTTTGCACGGGCTCTATATGATTACACCGAAAAAAGAATGACTGGCACAACTCGGAAAGAACGGGAGGGCGAGTAGATGGCACCTCGGGACACGTTTTTGGCCCCATTTCAGGGGGGGTAGATGGCACAATGTTTTTGATGGGTAGTGATTTTGGGGACGGGGCCACCAAAAAGTAGATGGCACAATGTTTTTTACGCTCCCGTGGGGAGTAGGATGGGTGTGCGCTCAGAATTGATGGCACAATGTTTTACCCCCCCCAACAGGGTCAGGAAAATAATAGATGGCACAAAGGACAACGCGCTCCCACTGGGAGTAGGACGTTCGTGCACTCAGAATTGATGGCGCAAGCCATCCGGCCTTTTGATTTCCTGTGGATTCCTTTCTGTGTCCATTCATGGCTATGGATTTCCAATGGTGCATAGTGATTTCCTGTTGAAACCATTTGATTTCCTGCTGATTGCTATTGGTGTTCCTTGTGGTTCCTTTTGGTTTCCCTTTGATGCCCCAGTGAAGCCTTTCAATGATAACAGCCAAGTAGATGGCACATCCCCCGTGTGAAAGGTGAACATGATAGTTGAGCCAATAGATGGCGCAACTCATTTCCTTCCCCTTTCACATCCACTCTTCTTCCATATCATTGTCCTTTCTGTTTCCTTTCCTTTTCTTGTTTCTTTCCTTGCCCTCTACCTTTGTTTTCATTTTTCCGTTCTGTCTTATTTTCTTGCCTTTTATGTTCTTTTTGTGTCATTTCCTCTTCTCCCCTCTCCTTTTTCCACTCCATTCCTTCACTTCTCCTTTCCATCTCCTTCCCCTACCTTTCCCTCCCCATTCCCTTTCATTCTGCTTCCAGGACAAAGCATGAGAACTGCCCAGCACATGGCGCACCCCCTGTGTGAAAGGTAACACAGCACTGATAGTGGAGCCAATAGATGGCACAACTAAGTTCCCCTCGCCTTCCTGTTCCCCCTCCTTCCCTCTCCTGCTCGTGCCTGCATCCTTTCCTTTTCCTGTCCTTGTGTTTCCTTTGTTTCACTTCTCCTTTACCTGCCCTTCCCTTTCCTGTTCTTTCTTGCTCTTTCCTTTTTGTGTCCTTTCCTTTCATCTCCTTTGCTTTCCTGCCCTTTCCCTCTCCTCGCCTTTCCTTCACTTCTCCTTTTCCTCTCTTTCCCTTGCCTTTCCCTTTTCCTTCTGCATCCACTTCACACTCCATTGGCCTAGCTTTCAACCAGTGCACGATAACAGCCAAGTAGATGGCACAATCAACGGGCATGGTCACGCAAAAGTAGATGGCACAATGTGTTTTGAGGTTGATGATTTAGCCCTCCCAAGTCTGGAAAAATAGATGGCACAAAGAAAATGAGCTCTCACCGGTAAAGACTTGCAGGTGCCCAAAATATTGATGGCACAACCCTAAAAACACGTTCCATCTACTCTTTTTGCGGAGTATTACAATGTCTAGAAAACGTGACAAGACTTACAGCCTTTGGCGTGCTGAGTGAGGCAAGTGCAAAACAATTTCGCTGGGCAAAAGCTGCATGGTGGGTTGTGGCACCGCAGATTCGTTGCAGAAACTGCTAGCTTCGAGCGACTACCATGTGTTCTCCCCTGAGACCTTCTTCATCTGACCTCTGTACAGGTCAACATGCCAAGGAATGACCTTCGGCTTAAAAGCCTCGCTGATTTGAGCTGATTTCTGAGCTGTTGTTAGCTGTGTCTCCAAACAGATCCAGGTATACGGTAAGAAAAACACAAACCCTTGCAACAATGAGCCACTAGTAGTAACAGAGGGCATTGCTACTAGGAGCAAGAAGCTACTTGTAGCTCCTGGCCTTACTACTAGTAACAAGAAGCCACTAGTAGTGATCACAGTGGACTTCGTCCTTCGTTTCACCACTGTGCGATGCCTAATTGACGCCCACATGCCACCTATCCCAAGCGCCCATCGGTTCAGCGTCGCCCACTGCGGCCGCGTCTGTAAATACTAGAACGGGCTTCACAGAAGGTCGAGCGATCGAAGAGAAGCAGAGCACGCTGAGCACGCAGCGCAAGCCGTGGAGTGCGCTTGGTATGGAATCATCGCTCCATCCGGAGACCAATTCATGGAACGACGATAGACGAGTTCTCCAACAAGTATGGGACTTGAGATCATGCACTGGATTATAGAGAAGAGATGACCATCGTGAACAGTACAACAAGAATATGAAAAGCAAATCCAGATCCGTCTTTATGCGAGAAAAGACAAAGGCGGCCAGTACCGCCACAAATTCATGACACCGTACCGCCACCGTATCCCGCCGTTTTGTAGGCGTTTGGAAGGCTCGGATCCTCGACCCCCTCTCCTCTCATGTCAAAGGCCGATGCGGATTTCACCGATGGAGGTGGGTGGATGTGTACCTTTTGTTCTTTTGCAGTGGATGTACTGGTGGGTGGATATACCGGTATACCTGGTTTATGCATGTTTATGCCCTGGTGTATTTCACTGGTATATCCCACCAGGAAAGCAAAGTAACAGTGGATGATGAGTAACAGTAGATCAGGACATCAGCAGCAGTAACCAGTAAAGCAGAGTAGATCAGTAAAGCAGAGTAGACCAGTAAAGCAGGTTCCAGGCCGACATCTCAACAGCGATCATCTTTTACTGACGGATACCCAGATACTGGTATACCATGGTATACCTGGGTCCAATCTGCACCGAACAAGTGCTGAGAGCCGGTTAGAAGCCCCATGTGATTCTCCAAAGCCCTACATGGAACTGGTAGATTAGACCTACATGGACTCTCAAAACAATCTGCACCCACATGCAGGTTTTCATGTTCCATGCCTGTTTGATGCTCACGGATGTTCATCCTAATGCAGACTGTATGAATAAACCCCCGCCAATGGCTATGAATGGCTTTATATCTCCAGGGGTGGAGCTTCATCGACAGTCAATGGCTTTATACGTCCCTGGCCCGGCCCTTCGCCACCTGAGAGGTTCTCCGATGACGGTTTGACCAAGTCATGACAAACCCAAAATCATCAATCCCAAGCTGAACATCTGCACATTGGTCCGGGTAATCGAAACGAAAGCACCGAACCTGGGTGGTCAATGCCCAAAGATTTGCTTGCTCACTCTCCGTTTTCTGAAGCCTCAAACACACACAGCGCGCACGCCAAAGGCATCACATGGCGCAGCTTCAAAACGCCACCGTGACCAGTCGACCCATCAAAACCATCGGTGTCGCGCTGATGAGTCGAAAGTATTCTTGGCTTGACAGCGCCAGCAAATGTTTGACCAAGTCATGCTGGCTCTTTCGCAAACTAAGAGATGATTTGTACAGCTTGGAAATGAGATGACATGAGAATGCCTCTCAGAAACAAACTGATGCGCACACCAAGAGTACTGAAGATGTCTCTTAGACATTTTACATGTTGGCAGCCCTTCAGCAGTCACGCGGCATTCACCTCGGCGGAACGTCGGAAGGAACAACTGCAAACCCTGCTGCAGGCCCCGACCTCAAGGAAAGCCTGTGACAAGAGTCAAATGAGCTGCTACAATGTCCAGAAAAAAAATGAAACAAACACACACTTGTTTGACATTCTCCATCTCAGGAAAAAAAACGTAGAAGACCCATCAAAGTCCATCGGCAAGAAAAAGCCCATCCCGAGGCGGAAACACAGTCTTTTGCCGCGAAAAGGTTTTTGTTGCCATGAATCTTCCTGCCCTGAGACAAAGACTACGGTATATTCTAGGGGTTCTGAATGTTTCTGTTCAGGTTTGCATCAAGCCGTGTTTCACCGGGACAGTCACCTCACTGAGGAAAAATATGGCATTTAAGCTTCCATGGCACATGCAAATCTTGCTCTACCGATGGTAAGCTGATTCCAAGTGACACGTTTGCCGCTAGCCTCTGGACACGATCACGTACGTCTGTAGTTGCTTTTGAAGGTTTTAGTTTCATTGCTGAATGAAAACACAACATGGTTTTAAAGTCAAAACGCACCTGGCGCTGAAAAGCGGTGAAAAGACCCATGTTGACCCGTGGGAAAGAAACACGCAGAAATGCCCGAGGAATTAAATGTAAAAAGGCCGTTCTGTTTCCCCTTAAGCAGTGCTTTTCAAAGGCTTGAACATCTGTTGCAGCTGTTTTTGGTGCATTGCATGAGTCGAAAATGGTCAAATGAGTCGAAATGTTGAAAAGGGCGTGAGATCTTCAATTGAGAAAACGATGGCCCTGGTGGTGAAGGATACGCAGCATGCAATCATTGAAGCCTGGTGGATTTGACGCAGTGGTGGTTTAGGGTTCAGGGTCCGTTCAAGTTTTCTTTCCGCAAAAGTTCACTGTGGGCCGCAGATACTTCTATCTTGCTTACGCGGAGTTTTCCTAAGTACACGAATCCTCCCGGGAAAGTTGGGCTGAGGCAAACATGTATTCTTCTCCAGGTGCTTCTATCGGTATAGTCAGTTGAGAATGATTAGCCGCTGTTTCCTGTATTGCCGATACTTATGATAAGTGTCCTACAAGCCTTTCAAAGACAGCTGTGCCGCTGTGGCAAAGCGATGAGAGGGATCGAGTTGATGCAGAACAAAAAACATCACTTACCCTTATGGATGTGAAGAAGGGAAGTGTGCCCCAAACGACTCCCCAAATGGTATAGTTAGTTAGTTAGTTAGTCA